GGTAGCAAACAGAGCAAATGCTGAGGGCTCTACAAAACTAAGCTGCTCAAAATTAGGCTGCAGCCATAGATGGCAGGGCTTGGGGGCCCCCCAGGTTTCAGTGTCTTGGGGAAGTTTCAGTGGCTTGGGGGCCCCCCAGGTTTCAGTGGCTTGGGGGCCCCCCAGGTTTCAGTGGGGGAAGGAGGAAGGGGAGGGTCTCCAGCCACTGAAATACTGTCCCTGCTTGATAGATCCCTTAAACAGATCCCTGGACCCAGGGTTGAAAATCACTGGAATAGGGTGTTACACCACAGTGTGCACGGGGGACCTGCAGCCTTTTGTAGTGGACTGAATGCGCCTTCCTTCAGAGCGCATAACACTTCTTCTGTGACCTGGCTCGGTGAGGTCTTTCTGGTGCAAAGTGGCCCCCAGCAAAAAATTATTGCCCACCCCTGCCCTAGAGTGTCAGAACCAGGATTAGCTGCTCTGAGAAGACTAACTTGGAATATCCCAGCTTTTGTACTTACTAAAACCTTTACTAGATCTCACAAATGGTCACACACATAGTGAACTCCTAGTCGCTTCCTCCCCCCTGCCCTGCACTGCCTCTATCAGAAAGAGGAGGTCCTTCAAAGCAGCAGCTCCATGTGGAGCCTGAGGTCTAGCACTTTGAAATGCTGCGTGCAGCCCAGGGCCAGCTGGGGACGTGGCGTTTCAAAGCGGCAGCGCCGCACAGAGCCCAGGACACCCCCACTGACCCCAGGCTTCATGCGGCATTGCCGCTTTGAAACGCCGCAGAGAGTTTGGGGCCAGCAAGGTGAGTGCTCCCTTCAGTGCTTTCACCTTTGAAGTGTAGCAACAGCCCCAGGGCATGAGCACAGCTGTTGCTACACTTCAAAGGCAGAGGCACCCTTATCAACTAATCGAATTGTCAATGCAAATTGCATCGACTATTCGATTAGTCCATTAATCTAAATTTAATATCCCTAAACACACAGAAACCTGTAGGGGAACATTTTAAACTTACCTGGACACTCATTAATGGATTTAAAAGTAGCCATTCTTCTACAAAGGAATTTCAAAAACCAACTACAGAGAGAGAGAGAGAGTGCAGAATTGGTCTTCATATGCAAATTTAACACTATCTCTCATGGCATGAACCAAGACCTGAATTGGATGGCCCATTATAAAATCTGCTTTCCTTAACATTCAACACCCAACTGATGTCAAAAGCAAAGTCTGGGATACTTCCAGCCCCCTCAATTAGCCTCCTTAGCACAGGCACTACAATTGCAGGTAGTACTCCCCGCACCTCTTGTTTTTCTGTTCTATATTGGGAAGGTCCCCCCTTTTCTCTCCACTCAGCTCATCTGAGGAAGTGGATTTTGCCCACTAAAGCTTTACCATAACGTTATCTTCACGCAGGGCATGGAACAGGGAACACTGTCAGGGGAGCTGTGTATAAAAGGCCACTCCACCAGAGGCGCCAGGGCCGATTTCTCATTAGTAAAACTACGAGCCAGTCACAGGTTCTGGGATTTTTTTAAGGAGAACGCCACAACTTCCTCAAAATTCCATTAATGCAGCCTTAGAAGGTGGGGTTCAATCCACAGTGCAAAAGCCCACGCCTGTAACTTTGCGACACGGGCCCCAGGCAACTGCTCTGTGTGCTCCCCCCTAACCCCACACACATTTCTGTGATTTATTATTTCTCACAGCCTGACCACAACTTTCCATCAAAACACCCCTCTCGAATTCACGGCCTTGCTCGTTAGCAACCCTATGACAATGAGACACAAAGAGGCGCAATTCTCATCCTGGCTGGAGCCGTGAAGCAGGAGATACTGTCCCTGGTCCTTGAATCAGGCGGGGCAGTTGCTTCAGTTGACCTAACGACCACATACCATGCCATCACCGTGGTGGTGACTGAGCTCTCTCAAACGACTGAAATTCCCTTTGCCCCCTTCCACTTAAAGCCCGATTCTCTGGTAAAACTACACTGGACCAGGAATTCTACAGCAAAACAGCTTGGAGGCTTAGTACTGCAACAGGCAACACCTGGGGTTCCTTGCGATCCCATGCTCTAAGGCTGGGGTGGGCAATCATTTTTGGGGGGCGGGGACGACGACGACACATAATGAATTTTGGTACACGGTCATGGGCCAGCTCCTGGAAGGGGCAGGTCTGGAGACCAGCCTCTCCCCAGAATTGTCTGGGGCTGGAGGCTTTGAATTAAAAACACAGCAAAGGGCTCAGAGCTCCTGGCCCCGCTGCCACCGTGTTGCCTGGCAGCCCCCCACGGTTACTGTGACTATTTAAAGGGCTCATGGCTCTGGCCTCCGCCAGGGCACTGCCGCAACTGGGAGCCGCAAGCCCTATAAATAGGATCCTGCTGCCTGAGCCACCAACCTGGAAATTCAGTGGCCTGGGCAGCAGGATATAAATAGAAAGTGGCCAGATGCAATTTGTGGGCCAGATCAAAGTGTTAGGTGGGCCAGATCCAGCCCTCAGGCTGCATCTTGCCCAGCATCACAGGCATGGTGTACATATACACACCAGCAACACCATCACAGGACCTAACCACATCAGCCATACCGTCACTGGTTCATTCTCCTGCACATCTACCAACGTAATATATGCCATCATGTGCCAACAATGCCCCACTGCTATATACATCGGCCAGACTGGACAGTCCCTGAGTAAAAGAATCAATGGACACAAATCTGATATTAGGAATGGCAATATACAAAAACCTGTAGGGGAACACTTCAGTCTCCCTGGACACACAATTGCAGATCTCAAGGTAGCCATCCTGCAGCAAAAAAACTTCAGGACCAGACTTCAAAGAGAAACTGCTGAGCTACAGTTCATCTTCAAGTTTGACACAATCCGCTCAGGATTAAACAAAGACTGTGAATGGCTCGCTAACTACAAAAGCAGCTTCTGCTCTCTTGGAATTCACACTCCAGATCAGCTACTAGTAGGCCTCATCCTCCCTGATTGGATCCACCTCGTCATCTCCAGCCAGATTCTGGCCTGCATATTTATACCTGCCTCTGGAAATTTCCACTACATGCATCTGACGAAGTGGGTCTTTGCCCAAGAAAGCTTATGCTCCAACACTTCAGTTAGTCTGTAAGGTGCCACAGGACTCCTCGTCGCTTAGGCATGGGAAACACGCTCAGAGGAGAGCGGAAGCCAGAAGACTAGCAATGTCCCTGTGGGCACATTGAGGGAGTGATAGTGAAGAGAATGTAGCGCTACTGAAAGGTGCCAGTCAATTTAGTTTCTCTGATTCATCACTGCACAGACACAGCATGCCCCATGCTGCCCCTAAGCTGGAGGGACCCTCAGTTTAACCTCCAGAGTCCATTTTAAATCTAGGTCTCTCTGCTGGGATGTCAACAGTGGGGCCAGCTGTGGTGATTTTTGTGACTTAGCTATTTGCTTCGCAGATCTTCAGACCCTTCTTGTTCCACACAGGACACTGAAAAGATCCCAGAGGTTAACAAAGTGACTGATCTGAACCGGTGAGGCAGGCCCGCTGATGGGAGGAGGTGGGGGCACGGGGCAGTTGCCACAGGGCCTAGCAATTCAAAGGGACCCCCTGCCATTGTGGCAGCTGGAGCCCCGGGTCCTTTAAATTGCCGCAGGAGTGCTGAACCACGCACATCGACTGGCTCTAAGGCAGTGGGCCTCAAACATTTTGGCCCATGGCCCACCCTGCTCAATGCAGACCATCAGCCAACCACCCATGATGATAAAATGGGTGCAGGATGGAGTGTGTGGGGGGGTCTGGCTGGGAGGTAAGGTGCAGGAGTAGTGGGGGGGTCTGGCTGGGAAGGAGGTAGGGTGCAGGAGCAGGGTGGAGGGTCTAGGTGGAAGGGAAGGAGCAGGAGCAGGATGGGGGTGTGGGGTCTGGGTCGAAGGAGGGTGCAGTAGCGGGCTAAGAGTGCGGGGTCTCAGTGTGGGGGGGATGTGGGGGTGGGGGCTGGGCATGAGGAGGATGGGGGTGCAGAATGGAC